ACTGTCCCATTCTCAATGGCTGAGAAAAAGATGCGATTTAGAGCAAAAAATAGTGCGATTCGTGAATAAATCGCACCATTGAGAACCAATCAGATTGCAAGGATAGCCAGTGATTTCAAAATGGATTTAATAAAGAACAAAAGACCGAAACTGAACACGCAAGCGGATTCCATTCGCGCGGAACCTTTTACCTCAATGTTTTCATGTCACGTTTGCTAAGTTATTTTCTCACAACGAAGTACTATAAATATGCCTCGCCATTATTTTTAATTTATTCATTCGACAATGATGACATGAAGTCGTCTAAACCTCATGTTACTTTACTTACGTTAATTTTCTTGCTTAAAAGTTTCAGTAGTCGTAAGATACTGAGTGACTGCAAAACAAGAAACATATTGCCTGGTACTGAGGCTCTCCCAGGGGTTTTAGAGGATAAGTTAGCCTCGTTCGAAAAGCCCTGGGAACTAGATTAGGGACAAGGAAACGTTATCATTTATTCAAATGCATGTCTCTACTATTATTATAAACGGAGACTGTCGCAAAACAGTTTTGGTAAGAGTAGAATTTACTACAGTAATGGGAAACTAGAAAGAAAATGAATTTTTTCTGTAGACATGAAGGGGTCATGTATCTTCCTCTTGGGGAACCTAATGATTGTGTATCAATAATCACACGAGCAAAAAAATATATCTTTTTATCATGTATTTTGTTGTTGTTGTTGTTGTTGTTGTTTTTATGTAAGTGAGGCGGCATAAGAATGAATGATATCGGATTAGTAACCTCTCTTCCGTTGCTTCAAGAAAGTTTAGTAAAATTTAGAAGCTAATTCGGGCGTTGTGTGTTAGTCCGGCGCGGCGCATAAACGAACTGACATAATTTCCTCAATTTGAGAGATCCAAAGGAACAAAATAAAACAGAGATGTTCTTAAATTCTATTTAGTTTATCAAAAAGATCGTCATTTTGGGTGTTGCCTCGATGGAACAAGTAAGAGTATGTTAGGAGGAACACAGCACCAGAAATCGCGCAGGTTCCGAGATTGCGACACTGATTAGCCAAACGTTTCGTGACCTTGCTCGCGTGACGATTTTATTGTGGGTGAAGACATGCGATCATGTGACGATCTATAGAATTTGCATTTAATGTCTCCGGGGCGCGTTAGGAATGTAAAGCAAAGCGTCGCAAGATGGTCGCCCATTCCATGATTCTTTTATCCAAGTGTGCTCAGTTTCGAGACGAAGGCCAATTCATCGACGTTCGTTTAAAAGTGCGTGAAGACATCTTTCCAGCTCATCGCATTGTACTCGCTGCGAATAGCGATTATTTCCACGCCATGTTTACTGATGGAATGAAGGAGTCGAACCAGGAAGTTATCGAACTGAAAGGTGAAAGCATTTCACCTGATGCTTTAAAGATTGTAATGGACTCCATCTACACTGGAGATCTCCGTGTCAACGAGGAAAACGTGTTTGAAGTTCTTGCCGCAGCTGATCATCTTCAAGCGACAACTGTTGTTCAACAGTGCTGTGATTTCTTGAAGAGGGAATTTATCGAGCTCCGACTTGATCTTCACAACTACTGTCTGCTTTCCACAGTGGCCCATAGACACGGTCTGAGAGATCTGCAAGAGGCAGTGGAGAAGAAGATGGCATCGATGTTCAAGGATATTTGTGAAAGCGAAGAATTCCTGAACCGTATTGGTGCAGACCAATTATTCAGCCTCCTTAATCGAGATGACCTCAGTGCACCTTCGGAGACGTTCATTTTCAAATCAGTGATGCAGTGGATTAAACACAAGAAGGAGGAGAGACTAGCAGTTGCAGCCAAAGTTATCGGAGCTGTTCGTCTGGGGCTGGTGGACATCAGGGTTGCGATTGAAGAACTGGACATAGAGGAGATGAAGCGAGTTCCAGAGATTTTCACGCTGGTGTATGAAGCATTAATCCATAGCTACCTGCCTTCTCGTAATCCCAAGTTTGCTGTGGAGAAAACAAAAACACGGGCAGCTAGACCGGTAAGAGTTTTTGTACTTCGCTTCACAGTGCCAACGAAGCTTATGATACAAAAGATTATCCATTTATCTTAATCTATTGGTTCGTATGCAGACTTTACCTTTACCCTTAATCTATAAAACTTATGGATTTCAGAAAGTTCGTTGAATTATTATATTAAGTACGTTTGCGTGACATTTAAATTTGACATAATTTCATATTACGTCATTTTGTCACGCAGTCCCAGTCTCCAAAAATACCAGTACACGCTTTTGACAGAGAAGGACTATTGTAATTTGGGAAGGCGAGGGGATGTTGGCCAATTTTTTTCTTATCGAGATTATTTTTTCAGCGTCAGGTCATGGAAGATTTTTTATTTACTCCATATATTTTTTTTTCGTTTCTCACTTTCCGAGTGTTTCCTTTTCGGATTTTCTTTCGGGGGCCTGAATCTTTTTGGTAATTACGTGGCTCCCTCCCCTTCTTAAAAATGTAACTGGTTTGTCTGGGAACGCAACATTTTTGTTCCAACATTTTTTGCCTTGGCGTGGAGACGCGGTGGCCTCATGGTTAGTGCGCTCGTCCCCGGATCGAGCGGTCTGGGTTCGAGCCCTGGACGGGAACACTGTGTTGTGTTCTTGGGCAAGACACTTTACTCTCACAGTGCCTCTCTCCACCCAGGAGTATAAAATTGCGAATTGCTGGGGAAACTTAAGAAATTGCGAGGGAGTGACCTGTGGTGGACTAGCATCCCGTCCAGGGGGAGTAGAAATACTCCCAGCCGCTTTATGCTAGAGAAACGAGGATAGGCTCCGGCAACTATGAGCCAGTCGGCTCTAAGGCTTTACTATGGACGTGTATCTATGACAAAATTCAGAACTCAGTAATTGATATCAAATCATCCAAATTGTACATGCATCAATCAAAAGCTGACTGGCATCTAGCCGATTCTACGAATAGTCATTACGCAAACAGGCATCACGCTAAAAGGTATCACGCTAAAATGCATCACGCTAAAAGGCATCACGCTAAAAGGCATCACGCTAAAAGGCATAACGCTTAACGACATCACGCTGAAAGGTATTACTCGAAAAGGCATCACGCCAAAAGACATCACGCGATAAGGCATCACGCAAAAAGGTATCACGCGAAAAGACATCACGCAGCAAGGCATCACGCGAAAAGGTATCTCGCGAAAGGTATTACACTTACTAAAAAGTATGTATCACGCCAAAGGCATCACGCAAACAGGCATCAAGCAAAAAGGCATAACGCTTCCGCTTGTATCTCTACACGTGGTCTCCCTCTTGCACCATAATAAAGGGGACGTGTAGCTGTAGTAGTGAATTCATGTTCAGGAGGTTCTTGCACTATGTCATACGAAGAACGCCCAGCGCTTGTCCGCCATCTTGAAAAACACTCGCCGATCTCAAAAGGACCTCAACTATATGTTCTAAACGGAAAGAAATGCAATCGTTTTCGATTCCATTGCTCACTTGCTGTATTAACTCTCTCACGGCACGCCTCAGGTACTGAATTATATGGAGGTATATCTATGACAAAATTCAATACTCAGTTATTGATATCAAATTATCAAAATTGTACATGCATGCATCAATCAAAAGCTGAATGGCAACAAGCCGATTCTACAAATGGTCATTACCCAAACAGGCATCACGCTAAAAGGCATCACGCTAAAAGGCATCGCGCTAAAGAGCATCATGCTGAAAGGCATCACGCTAAAAGGCATCGCGCTAAAAGGCATCACGCTAACTTGGGGCATCATGCTGAAAGGCATCACGCCTAAAGGCATCGTACGAAAAGGCATCACGCAAGAAGGCATCACGCTAAAAGGCATCACGCGAAAGGGCATCACGCGAAAAGCCATCACGCAGGAAGGCATCACACAAAAAGGTATTACAGGAAAGGTATTACACTTACTACAAGACATCACGCAAACAGGCATCACGCAAAAAGGCATAACGCGTCTGCTTGTGTCTCTACACATAATCTCCCTCTCGCACCATAATAAAGGAGAAGTGTAGCTGCAGTAGTTAATTCAAGTTCAGGAGGTTCCTGTACTATCGCCAATGTCATACGAAGAACGCCCAGCACTTGTCCGCCATTTTGAAAAATACTCGCCGATCTCACCGATCTGAAAGAAATGCAATCGTTTTCGATCTCATTGCTCATTTGCTGTATTAACTCTCTCAAGGCACGCCTCCTGTACTGAATTAAGACGTCGCGAGGAGGTAAGGAGGAAATTCTTGGTCAAAAACTATTTGAGAAGGTTATTATCTTACAAGACTCGAGTAAGAAGAGTTAGCCTCGATTCCATGTAATTTTTGTAACGGTGCCTTTCTGGGTGATGCCTTTTCGCTTGATACCTTTTTGTGTGATGCATTTTAGTGTGATGCCTTTTAGCGTGATGCCTGTTTACGTAATGACTATTTGTAGAATCGGCTAGTTGCCATTCAGCTTTTGATTGATGCATGTACAATTTGGATGATTTGATATCAATTACTGAGTATTGAATTTTGTCATAGATATACCTCCATATTTGTTTGATGCCTTTTTGTGTGATGCCTTTTCGCGTGATGCCCTTCAGTGTGATGCCTTTAAGCGTGATGCCTTTGCGAGTGATACCTTTCAGTGTGATGCCTTTAGGCGTGATGCCTTTAAGCGTGACGCCTTTTAGTTTGATGCCTTTTCGCGTGATGCCTTTTCGCGTGATGCCTTTTAGCGTGATGCCTGTTTGCGTAATGACTATTTGTAGAATCGGCTAGTTGCCATTCAGCTTTTGATTGATGCATGTACAATTTGGATGATTTGATATCAATTACTGAGTATTGAATTTTGTCATAGATATACCTCCATATTTGTTTGATGCCTTTTTGTGTGATGCCTTTTCGCGTGATGCCCTTCAGCGTGGTGCCTTTTCGCGTGATCTCTTTAAGCGTGATGCCTTTTTATGTGATGCCTTTTCGCGTGATGCCCTTCAGTATGATGCTTTTAAGCGTGATGCCTTTGCGAGTGATACCTTTCAGTGTGATGCCTTTAGGCGTGATGCCTTTAAGCGTAATGCCTTTTAGTTTGATACCTTTTCGCGTGATGCCTTTTCGCGTGATGCCTTTTAGCGTGATGCCTGTTTGCGTAATGACTATTTGTAGAATCGGCTAGTTGCCATTCAGCTTTTGATTGATGCGTGTACAATTTGGATTCTTTGATATCAATTACTGAGTACTGAATTTTGTCATAGATATACCTCCATAGTTTACACACACTTTTTTTTGGCCTTGACTCGGGTGTTTTCGGACAGATTATTGGGATTTCTTTATATTATCGAAATTTTTTTTTCTTTACTGTCGTTTCAGGTTCTTCTTGCAGTTCTACCCCAGGCTCAAATGCAGTATTTTGATGTTGAAGCAAAAACGTGGAAACCTTTGACATCCACAAAAGCATCAATTAAGGCCATGTTGTGTTACTGTGCAGCGGCTGCTGGTAATAACTTGTATGTTGCTGGATTTGAAGTGGAGCTAGGTGGTGGTGCTCACATTTATCGTTATGATGCAGAAGGTAATGTGTGGGAGAAACTGCCATACTCAAGCGGTAAAATCAACAATTTATGTATTGTAGACGATTACATGTATGCAGTTAGTTCTGACTGCCGTCAGGTTCCTCAAAGGTATAGCTTTGCTAACTGTCAGTGGCAAACTTTTGCTAAAGTAAGTATTTCAAGTGATCTCCGGGTTTTCTGTAGCGGAGCAACAGTGCTTCACTCAAAGGTATATGTCGTTTATGGACTTTTACGCGGTTCAGGTGGCAACCGGTCAATACTGAACGCAGTGCTATACTGCTTTGATCCAGGAAAAAACGAATGGGGAAAAAAAGCAACAACCTGCCAGCCTCACTTTGGTTCCAGTCTTTTTGTAGCAAACAATAGACTCTATGTTGCAGGGGGTTATGAGTCTATTGACTCAAGTGGTAGTCCGTGTGGTAACCCAGCTGCTGTGGAAACTTATAATGAGGAAAACAGCACTTGGTCTATTATTGAACAAAACCACATTCCCCCAAACAACCGTAATGCAGTGGAAATAGAAGGGAAGGTTTACTTTGTAATAAACAAATTTCCAGTTGACAGTGGTATAAGAATTCCACCAGGAGAGCTGTATCCTGTTCATTTGGGTGAGTGGGAAAACTTAGCAAAAATTGCAAATACTGCAGTTCTGTGTTATCTGCCAGTAAAGCGGGATAGTTTGAAAGCAGAGTGAAAATGATTTTTTTACTCACTTTAAATATCACATTTACACATCAAAATATGCTAGAATGTTCTTATTGTTATTAAGTTGTTCAAGCTTCAATGCATGAATTACTGCAGGAAGGAAAAAGACTGCGAGCAAAGCAGGGAGGGGCTGAGGCGAGCAAAAACGTAAAGGTCAAGAAGGAGATGAAAGGAAAGGAAGACTAGTTCCATCCCTTGTCTCGATCTTTAATCCAAGCTTATGAATCTCCTTCCTTGCTTAGCACTCGTTTTCTTGACTAAAACCTTTAGTAGTTAATATTGAAAGCCTGACCTGATTTGTACACATTTTAAAGCGGTTTTCAATTGAGTGTCGTTAAATCAGAACGAAAGTAATCACTCTGTTCAGTCACAAAAGGCACGGAGAATCGAATCAACCAATCAGAACTCGAAGTAATTACATGTACTGACGCAAAGCGCGGGAAAACGTGTGTCAGCCAGTCATGATTGGTACTGGGTTTACTTCTGATTGGATAAGTAAGTGGCGCGAGTTTTTTTTACGCCAATAGTGCATGTAGTGTGGTAAACCAATAACTTTTCGACACTCAAGTCAAAACCACTTCAGCTTTTAACTTCGCATTAGTAAGTAAAGTAAGTAAGTAACCTTTATCAATGTGGTCTAAAACACTTGACAGACGCAAAAGGTACAGCACTGACAGACTTTCAAATTGTCCGCTACTGTATGTTTAAATTAGCTTTAAGAATTACTTTAGAACTGTGTATAGAAGTCTGTCTGAAGTACACAGAATAGGATAGATTCGTTACATCATTATTCTATTAAAGCAAGAGATATTCTCTTGATCAAGGTTGTAAACCTTTCTGCTACCGACACTGCAGTTTGTTATCAGTTATCAACTGTGTAGTTTGAAAATTGAATAACAGAACGTTTCTCACATTCTGGTGTCACGTTAGCAGTTTATACCAGTAAATCTGGAAAGAATTTACAGTTATTTAAAAGCTGAAGGACATAATCTGTTGTAAAATTAAAGTTAGTTTAATATATTTTCTTTTGAACCTTTGAAAGGCCAATGTGTACATCATTTAAATCTGCCTTCCCTACACTACGATGAAGTCTCCTGATTTGCTCGTCCAATTTAAGTGCACCTAACTCAGCCGTGATTACAAACTGTACCTTACACCATCCCCGTAAAGTGATGCTTTCCATTTTTTATTCAGAAGCTTATTCACAACCTTTAAAACAATGAGGAAGTTACTTTTGGATAACTAGTCTAAGTGAGCTTAAGCAAGCATGACTGAGCCAGCAGCAGAAAAACCAGCTTAAGTCGAGCTTCCTCTGTATCCACTTCTCGTAAGCGGCCAAAACGGTAGCCGCTTCTTTGCTTTTTCGAAATGTCTGTGAAGGGAAGTTAGATAAAGTAAGTTTTGAACCAACAGTTGATTTATACTAAAACAATTAGATTATCGTAAATCTTCCAATTAGCGCCCCTCCTATCGGCCAAAATTTGAAATAAGCGGTTCCCCTCGAAAAAGCGCCCCCCTCCCTCCCCTCCCCTTCTACCATGTTTTTGGACGAGTACTGAACCAACAAAGGATGTATAGTTTTCGTCGTGTAGTATTAGATTTGTACATTGTTTCAGTTTGAGAACACGTT